ACCCTGCCTCAGTTGCTGAGTTCTCTGGAGAAATCCAGGCCCATGCACAGGGTACGGGGTGCCTCGTTGAGCCTTCTTCCAGTGCCCTTCCCTTTCTTATGTGGAGTGGCGGTGGCAGCCTGGGCCTGCTTGCTGGCAGCCATCAGGATGTTGCCATCCCATCTCCTCTGCCAGGGCTACAGTGGACCATTTTGCCCCAGGAGTGTCTCCCAGCAGGTGTGGTCTCCCTGGGCTATCATAAAGAAAGTGAAGGCTTGCTTTGGAGAAAAAAATGGAAAAGAAACAAGATGGGCTGGCCCTGCCCTTCTCGCTTCCTCCTTCCCAGGCTTCAGTATCCTGCCTTCCCTTTCCTGCTGGCGTCAGTAGGCTTTGTGGGGTGTGGGCTGGGCTTGGGGCTCTCTGCTGGAGTAGTGTTTGCCCAGTTGCCCTGGCAACCACAGAGCAGTGGTGGGGAGTAGTGGCAGTCATTGACCAAGGACAGTGCCCAGGGATCAAGAGGTCAAGACCCAGCCTTCCCATAAATCCATTGGAAGCTTTTGCGCTCTGTGGGGCCCCTTGGCCCATTGCCCACATGGGGGCTGGACCCTAGGTGTCAGCCACCTATTAGACCCCTTTGCCTCTTTCCAGAAGAGACTCCCTGGAGATGGAGTGTGAGGTCCTGCCACAGCTCCAGCCCTCCCCCTGCCATAACCCTTCTTCCTGTCTGATTCCTTTTCCTTTCCTGTCTCCTCCTCCCACCTCCTCCCTGCCCGCCCATTCTCTCATTCCCCTCCCCCCAAGCACAGCTGCTGTTTGGCTCACTCTATATATAGCGGCATTTTCAGGGTAATTACAATAAAACTGTTGAAAGGAGATAATCCAGCAAAGGAAGCCAGGCTGACTCCCAGCCCCCTCCTGTCCCTGGTTTGGTGCAGCCCTGCACCCCCTTTCCCTCGTCCCACCCCCATTCCTATACCTCCCCTTCCTGCCCCATCTCTCCCAGCTGGCTAAAACCAAAGGAAGTGCAGGGGGGTGTCCAGAAGGTCTCCACAGACCTGGATTTACCTCGGTCCCTGGCTGCTAACCACAGCCGTTCTAGAACCAACCTCTATGCCTCAGTTTCTCTTCTACCATTGACTTCAGTGGGGGCATGATGCTGAGAGATGGAGATAAGACAGTGACAGTAAATAAAAGTATAGGACTTGGATCACATCCTGGTTCTTCAGTCAGCTGTGTGTCCTGTCAAGTCACTTAAACCTCTCTGAACCTCAATTTCCTTATCTATAAAATGAGATATAATAATAGCACCTAAGTCAGGTAACTATGCAATTTAAATGAGTCATTTATGTAAAATGCCCAGTGGTGATAACTGTCAATGACAGTATTATTAAAATCTGCTACCAAGCTTCATGCTCATGCATTTAAAAAAATTTTTTTTTTCTCCCTGCTATAGTGCATCAAACCCAGGGCCTCACACAAGCTAGGCAAGCACTCTACCACTAAGCCACACTCCCAGTCCTGATGCATGTTTTCTAATTGAGGTTCATGACTTTACCTTCATTTAATGAAGATGGAAGGCTGAATCCATGGGCAGAGGGATTTGACTTTTCTATTCTTTTGGGTCTGATAGTCCTGTCTGGTAGTCTCCTGGGCCCCAGTCCTGTCTGCCAGGGCCTAGTGAGATCTGGGAATGGGCCCACTGACCACTCCTATCTCTTGTGCCCACAGTGGAGGTAAAGCCGGTGCTGCCAGGAGCCATGCCCAGCTCTATCGGGGGTGGGGGTGGAGGCAGCCCCAGCCCTTTGGAGCTGAGGGGGGCTCTGGCTGGCCCTGTGGACCCGGCCCTGCGGGAGCAGCAACTGCAGCAGGAGCTCCTGGCGCTCAAGCAGCAGCAGCAGCTGCAGAAGCAGCTTCTGTTTGCAGAGTTCCAGAAACAGCATGACCACCTGACGCGGCAGCATGAGGTCCAGCTGCAGAAGCACCTCAAGGTGAGTAAGGGGGGCATGGGCCACACAGAGCCACTCCCTTGCTTGGTGGCTCACAGCACTCCCACCTCTGTGCCCCTGTAGCAGCAGCAGGAGATGCTGGCAGCCAAGAGGCAACAGGAGCTGGAGCAGCAGCGGCAACGGGAGCAGCAGCGGCAGGAAGAGCTGGAGAAGCAAAGGCTGGAGCAGCAGCTGCTCATTCTGCGTAACAAGGAGAAGAGCAAAGAAAGTAAGGCCCTGCCGGGCGGGTGGGCAGGCATTCCACTGCCTGGGAGTCCCACCCTGCCCCTCGCACAAGCACCCAAGTCACCTGTGCCCTACCCTGCAGGCGCCATTGCCAGCACCGAAGTGAAACTGAGGCTCCAGGAATTCCTCTTGTCAAAGTCGAAGGAGCCCACGCCAGGCGGCCTCAACCATTCCCTCCCACAGCACCCTAAATGCTGGTAACAACTCTGGGAGGCATGTGTGGGAACAGGGGTCCTTTTTAGGGTCTGCCTGGCTCTGTGATAACAAGCAGCATCTGCCTTGCTCCAGATAACAAGCAGCATCTGCCTTGTGGCCATGTTCAGGCTTGGCAGGCTCCTTGGGGATGAGACTCTCTTTATTCCCCTCTCCAGGATTCAATTTCTGTCCTTACATAAGTGTAGTGGACTTTCCATAACTATAAACTGCCTGGGTAGTAACCTAGATCTGTCCCATCCCCAGGGGAGCCCACCATGCTTCTTTGGACCAGAGTTCCCCTCCCCAGAGCGGCCCCCCAGGGACGCCTCCCTCCTATAAACTGCCTTTGCTTGGGCCCTATGACAGCCGTGATGACTTCCCCCTCCGCAAAACAGGTATGTGAGCACCCTGATCTGGCCTCCCAGAATATGGCTCCTGGGGTGGGGGTGGGAACGAGCAGGGGGCAGGACTTCCCTGTGAGCCAGCTCTGACCGTGGTGGGCTGGCTGCAGGTGTGTGGATATGTCTGAGCCCTGGCTACCTTCTCTCCAGCCTCTGAACCCAATTTGAAAGTGCGTTCAAGGCTAAAACAGAAGGTGGCTGAACGGAGAAGCAGTCCCCTCCTGCGACGAAAAGATGGGACTGTTATTAGCACCTTTAAGAAGAGAGCAGTGGAGATTACAGGCGCTGGGCCTGGGGGTAAGGGCTCTTCTGTGTCCCTGTTCTGAGGGCCTGGGAGTGGGGGTGGCTTGGAGCAGGCCCAGGTGACAGCCACTTCTTCTGTAGTGTCGTCTGTGTGTAACAGTGCGCCCGGCTCTGGCCCCAGCTCTCCCAACAGCTCCCACAGCACCATCGCTGAGAATGGCTTTACTGGCTCAGTCCCCAACATCCCCACCGAGGTACAGGCCTGACTGAGGCTGACGGGGAAGGGGGGGTGGGGACACCGAGCTGCTTTTTTTCCCTTGGAAGGAAGAGTGCAACTCCTTCCAATCTGGCTGAGAGTGTGCCTGAGAGTGTACCTCTGTGCCTGTGTGGAGTCCATGCTTGGATATGTTGCCTCAAAGGGAGATTCATCCCCCAAGCCCCAAAGGGCTCTCTCAGTTACTCCAGTTGGAACTCAGGGTGGGGGGAATGGAGCACCATGCAGGTCCTTGGCTGACCCCAGGCCTCGCTCGTTCACTGTCTCCCCTTGCTTGCTCTCATGCCTGTCTCTCCGCCTCCTTCCCAGATGCTCCCCCAGCACCGGGCCCTCCCTCTGGACAGCTCCCCCAACCAGTTTAGCCTCTACACGTCTCCTTCTCTGCCCAACATCTCCCTAGGGCTGCAGGCCACAGTCACTGTCACCAACTCACACCTCACCGTAAGTACAGGGCACATACCCCATCTTCCCTCTGGTCTTGGGGGTGTCCTGCATGCTCGCAGCTGAGACTTTTTCATTCCCAAGGCCCTGAGAGAGCTCAGATGGTCCTATCCAGAGCCATCTGGGATGGAAGGGTTGGAAGAGGATAGATGAGGGCTGTATGACTGGGGGAGTGTGAGCCCCTGCCTTCTCTGCCTTCCTTTTTCACCTCTCCCTTCCTTTGTCACCTCTTGCCAGGCCTCCCCGAAGCTGTCGACGCAGCAGGAGGCCGAGAGGCAGGCCCTTCAGTCCCTGCGGCAGGGTGGCACACTGACGGGCAAGTTCATGAGCACATCCTCCATCCCTGGCTGCCTACTGGGCGTGGCCCTGGAGGGTGACACGAGCCCGCATGGGCACGCCTCTCTGCTGCAGCATGTACTGCTGCTGGAGCAGGCCCGGCAGCAGAGTACCCTCATTGCTGGTGAGTGTGCAGGTGGCTCTGCCAGGGAGGGGCATTTGGCTATTATGGGGGACCAAATAAGGACCAAATGTTAGGGAGAAGCAGCCAGGGATACTCTCCAGCCCTGCCACGGCCATCAACAGTTTCCACATTCTGGAAATATCAGATACCTACAGAATTTTCTATCATCATGAGTTCATATTCCAGAACAGCACTATTCAGTAGAAACAATACAAACCATATACGTAATTTAAAGCTCTCTAGTGGTTACATTAAAAATTTTAAAAAGAGGGCTGGGGATATAGCTCCGTTGGTAGAGTGCTTGCCTTGCTTGCACAAGGCCCTGGGTTCAATCCCTAGCACCACACACAAAAAAGAAAGAAACTTGGCATAGTGGCACATGCCTTTAATGCCAGCAAATAGGGAGACTAGGGCAAGAGGATTGAAATTTTAAGGCCAGGGGCTGGGGTTGTGGCTCAGCGGTAGAGTGCTCGCCTCACACGTGCGGGACCCTGGGTTGGATCCTCAGGACCACATAAAAATAAATAAGTGAAATGGAGGTGTTGTGTCCAGCTACAACCAAACACACACACACACACACACACACACACACACACTCTCTCTCTCTCTCTCTCTCTCTATATATATATATATATATATATATATGAAAGTTCAAGGCTAGCCTTAGAAATTTAGGGAGACCCTATCTCAAAAAAAAAAAAAAATTAAGAGGATGTAGATTAACAGTTCAAGCCCCCGGGTTTAGTCCTTGGTGCAAAAACAAGTCAAAGATAGAATTAATTTCATACTATATGTTTAACATATCTAGAATATTATTTCAACAATTAATAAACATAGACTTATCAATGAGGAATTTTACTTTTTGTTTCATATTACGTCTTTGGAATCCAGTGTGTAATTCACCCTTCTAGCACATGTCAATGTAGACAAACTATGTTTCAAGGGCTCAGTAGTCACATATAGCCAGTAGCTATGGTATTAGACAGTTTTAGACAATCAGCCCTTAAGTACTTGTTGACATGGTAGAAGTTCTGCTTGAAGGATATGAGTTACTGGCCCATGGGGTCCATGATCAGGAAGGTCGTATTGCAATTGGAGAAAGTAGTTGCAGTTTACCCGTATGGAGGACCTAGGACAACATGAACACTAAATTAAGCAAACTGAGAATGGTGAATACAGGAGGGCTCGCTGTGGACAGTGCCTGAGATGTAGGAGAGGAGAAGTGGGGTTGGAGTTTGGGGATGGGGTACCTCAGGCCCCTCTGAGGTTTTTTCTGAGTATTTAGTGGTGATATTCTAGAAGGGAGATCTGGGCTGTGGGGGGATTGAGAGTGGGCCTTGTGCCCTGCCAATGTCAACAGCGTTTACTCCCCTCCCCTGCCCTCATAGTGCCGCTCCATGGGCAGTCCCCGTTGGTGACAGGTGAACGTGTGGCCACCAGCATGCGGACAGTGGGCAAGCTCCCGCGGCACCGGCCCCTGAGCCGCACTCAGTCCTCGCCACTGCCACAGAGTCCCCAGGCCCTGCAGCAGCTGGTCATGCAACAGCAGCATCAGCAGTTCCTGGAGAAGCAGAAGCAGCAGCAGTTGCAGCTGGGCAAGGTATTCTAGAAGGGAGGCAAATGTCCTAGGGCTGTGGCCAGGAAAGATCAGGCTGGTAGGAAGAGTTGGTGGCTCAGTCTGTCTTGGGGTGGGTATTTGCTCAGAGGCGCCCCCTTGAGTTTTTCCAGCTTAATAGAAGCTCTGTGTGGGCTGGCAGCTGCCTGGGAGAAGGCAGGGAAGGACAGACCAGGCGGGCAGCACAGCTGCGCCCCTCCCCCTACTGATATGCACCCTACATTCTGCTCCCAGATCCTCACCAAGACAGGGGAGCTGCCCAGGCAGCCTACTACCCACCCTGAGGAGACAGAGGAGGAACTGACAGAGCAGCAGGAGGCCTTGCTGGGGGAAGGAGCGCTGACCATGCCCCGGGAAGGCTCTACGGAGAGCGAGAGCACACAGGAAGACCTGGAGGAGGAGGAGGAGGAGGAGGAGGAGGAGGTGGAGGAGGACGATGATGACTGCATCCAGGTCAAGGATGAAGAGGGCGAGAGTGGCCCCGATGAGGGGCCTGACTTGGAAGAGTCCAGTGCTGCTTACAAAAAGGTGCCCCCAGCCCTGGTTCTGGCTCTTGGTCTCCACCGCTTTTCCCTTTTTTCCACAATTGCCTGCCTGTCCCCTTCCCCAGCAGTGCAGTTGCCAGGCTGTCAGGAGTAGCTTTCTGAAGAGATCAAGAAGGGAAGAGAGGCCAGGAGGGAGTAGAAGGGAGGAGCCGCTTTTCTTGGTCCCTGAGCTGTGCCTGCGCATGTCTGCCAGCCCCCCTGCATCTGTGACTGCTCCCGCCTCTCTGCTTTGGTGTGTGTGTGCGTGTGTGTACATGCACGTGTCCTGTGTGTATATGCGTTTGTGCCTGCGTCTGCCGCTTGTGCGTCGGTCTCTGCGTGCATGTGAGAGTGTGTACACACACGCCCCCACTGTTACTACAGTCTGCCTTGCTTGCGCGACTAGTGCTCGTTCCATTCATTGCGGACACAGCTGAGCCCTCCGGGCCTGACTCATCCCACCCCCGCTCCGCCCCTGCCCCTCAGCCTCTTACCTCAATGCTACTCTTTGGTGTGACTCATCACATCCCCCCAACCCTCCCCACCTAAGAGGAGATGGCAAGGCTGGAGTGTCTTCTGTCCCTGGAGGGAGCAAGTGGGAGGAGGTGGGGGCAGGAGGAGACTTGTAAGAAAAATGCTGGATTGGGGGCCCCCTGGAGGCCCCAAGGGCACCTGTCCTCACTCCTATCTAGGCTGAGCCTCACCCAGGTTCTTCCTGCTCCTTTTAGCTGTTCACAGATGCTCAGCAGCTGCAGCCACTGCAGGTGTACCAGGCACCCCTCAGCCTGGCCACTGTGCCCCATCAGGCCCTGGGCCGCACCCAGTCCTCACCTGCTGCCCCTGGGGGCATGAAGAGTCCCCTGGACCAGCCCACCAAGCACCTCTTCACCACCGGTGAGCCCCACCACCAGCAGTTATTCCTCTGTGTAGCATCCAGGTCCCCTCATACCCTGGAGGGAGGGAAGGTGGGCCTTTATCTCTTCCTATCCCCCACAGCTATTCATGGTAGTGGAAGTAACTTTTTGCCCCAGACAGGAGAACGGGCAGCCCTGCCCCTACCAATTGGGCAGCACTGTTTTCTAGGCCAAATCATTACCACTGAGTGTGCCTGATTCTGTACATCACCTCGCGAGCCCTAACACCCTCTTTTGGGTCTTTGCCTTTCTAGCTTCCTCTCCTCCCTGTGGGGTTCAAATTGAGGCCTCAGCCTCCCCATGAGGCTTCCACAGATTGGGTTCTAAGAGGGCACATCTTGCCTAAGGATGTTCCCATCTCACCAATGGGGAGCAGCACACAGGAGCTGGGAGAGGATGGAGGGGGGAGGAAGATGTTCCATCGTCGGGGCAGTGGAAGGGCTCAGTGAGCCAATATCAAAACCAGTGGGGGTGTCAAGGGCAGGGCAGCACTGTCAGGTGGCCAGTACGGCTGAGGGCAGGTGTTCAGGCTGGGGGTGGGTGAACACTGCTGAGGGTCATGGTGGCCAGGCTGAGACTCTGGGCCCAGAGCAGTGCTGGCTGACATGAGGGTCTGTGGCCCAGGCGTAGTCTACGACACGTTCATGCTGAAGCACCAGTGCATGTGTGGGAACACACATGTGCACCCTGAACACGCCGGCCGCATCCAGAGCATCTGGTCCCGGCTGCAGGAGACGGGCCTGCTTAGTAAGTGTGAGGTGAGCGCGCTCCCTTCCTCCAGACCCAGCTTCAGTTCAGCCAGAGCCTTCGTTTCTCCCCTACTAGTGAAACTTCTTTCCAACCCCAGCCCTTGGACCACTCCCACAGACACCTCCCTGTGTCCCTCCCTCGTGGTCCCCAGACCATGGGGAAAAGTCCTGGAGTAGGCTTCCCAGGGGGTCAGGACATAGTTGCTCAAAATCCTTTGGATCTCCTGAGACCACCAGATGGATTCATGGCCCTGGGCTCTGTAGACAGAGTTTGGGCGTCAGGGGAGCTGAGCCTTCAGTGTAGCCCTTGACTGGACTCTCTGCCCTCCCCCTGGCAGCGGATCCGGGGTCGCAAAGCCACTCTGGAGGAGATCCAGACAGTGCACTCTGAATACCACACCCTGCTCTATGGGACCAGCCCCCTCAACCGGCAGAAGCTGGACAGCAAGAAGCTGCTCGGTAGGCTGGCTGGCAGGGTGCGGGCAGGGCATGTCTTCCGCATGGGTGGGATAGGGGCTGTCAGGAAGACCTGGCCAGTGTAGGTATGCCGTTCTGATGGGCCCAGGTCATCCCTGTGGCAGAGGTGACATGGTTGCCATGTCATGTACCTCCAGAGGTACCATTAACATAAATTCAACCTGGCCAGAACATGCTGGAGGGTGCTAGACAGCAGGATGAAAGTGATGGGTTGTTTTGGTGGGGGGTGCTTTGTTCCTCTCCTCAGCCTGTCATATCCCTGCCATCTGTCCCTAGAGGGAGGATGCCCCACAGAACAAGGGACAAACAGTTCCCAACTGGTGTGGACTGCAGAGGCCTGGCCTGTGCTTGGGTCTACGCCTTCATTTTCTGTGGCTGAGTTCACTGCCCTCTGCAGAGCTCAACCTGTATACGTGGCAACTGAGGCAACTTCCAAAGTCACTCTGTCCTTCCCTGCAGGCCCCATCAGCCAGAAGATGTACGCCATGCTGCCTTGTGGGGGCATTGGGGTGAGTAGGTTGTGTGCCAGTTGGGGGGGGATGGGCAGGCGGCTCCTACCCACCACTGGTCAGTGCTGCAGAGGGCATTTTTGCCCTCCTTGTGCAAGGGGCCACTGAAGCGCACTCTCCTGCCCCTGCAGGTGGACAGTGACACTGTGTGGAATGAGATGCACTCTTCCAGTGCTGTGCGCATGGCAGTCGGCTGCCTGGTAGAGCTGGCCTTCAAGGTGGCTGCAGGAGAGCTGAAGGTGAGAGTGTGCTCATGGCCTTGGCACTCCTTGGCTTGTCCTGCATCCTCAGGACTGGGGAACAGGGGCCGCCTTGACTTCCCTTCAGAGAGGCACTATCCTTTACAGCCTTAACTCAGGTGCCAAGGTGGGGAGAAGGTGACAGCACTAGGGACAGCTAGGGGCTAAGGGGCATGAGGGACAAGCATTCACGCCTTGTGCTCTGGTGAGTGTTTCAAGGGCAGGGACTTCCTGCCTGCCTGCCCAAGAGGCCCGTGGCTGAGGTTGTAACGGTGTGTTGAATTTATACATGCTTTTCTGATCTGTGTTCCCTTTCCTGCCTGGCTCGTGCTTCTTTCTGTGTCCATCCCTCTCCCATGCCACCTTGCTTTCTTGACTCTTGTTTCTGTACCTCTGCCTGCACCTCTTCAGAATGGATTTGCCATCATCCGGCCCCCAGGACACCACGCAGAGGAATCCACAGCCATGTGAGTGCCACTCCATCCCCACCCTAAGCCTCTGCCCTTGGCCCTTCCTGTCTTTTGCTCTTTAAGTGAACCTCACCTAACCTGAAGCTGACCTCCCCACCCTTTTCTCCCCCGCCCCCTCAGGGGATTCTGCTTCTTCAACTCTGTAGCCATCACAGCTAAACTCCTGCAGCAGAAGCTGAACGTGGGCAAGGTCCTCATCGTGGACTGGGTAGGCAGTGGGCTGGAGAGGCTGGGCAAGGTGGGCAGAGCTAGGCCAGGGGCAGCCTTCAGGAAGTCCTGTTCCCCGCAAGCATCCCACTCTGCCTCAGGGTGGCACTGGGACTCACTCCTGATGACTGATGAATCCTACATCCCTTCTGCTGGATCATCAGCCCAGTCCTCAGGTTCCAGTAGGGCTTCCTCCTCTCCTTTAGAGATCCGAGAGGACTTTTAGCCTCTGTCCACCTTGGCCTCCACCTGGCAGCCTCAAGCAGCTGAAGGATTTCCTACAGTAGACAGGTGTGCCACCACCACTGCTAGAAGCCACTTTCTCTTCCACCCTGCACAATTAGCTGTTTTTGAGGAACCCAACTAGTATTTGATACACCATGCTTCTCATAGCTACCTCTAGTAGTAAAAAGTAGGATGTCCATTTCTACAAATGAAGGCCCTGGGTGATCTACCCAAGATCACTTAGCTGAGAATGCTGCATTTCTGCCCCTGCTGATGTGAATGCGTCTCACATCTTGCCCCAATGATAGAAAAACACACACCACTCACTCACTGCTCAGGGAGGTCATCTGGAGCACTCCTCAGCAAGGGTGAAATTTTGGAATTCCAATTTTGGCTTTAAAATTCATTTAGCTGGGCATGGTGGCCCATGTCTGTAATCCCAGTGACTTGGAAGGCTGAGCAGGAGGATTGCAAGTTTGAGGCCAGCACAGTAACTTAACAAGGCCCCTAGCAACATAGGGAGACCCTCTCTCAAAAAATAAAAGGACTGAGGATGTGGCTCAGTGATAAAGTACCCCCGGGTCAATTCCTAGCACCAAAAACAACAACAAAAAATTTTTTATTTAAATGTTAGATTCTCAGGCATGGTGGGGCATGTCTGGAGTCTTTTTTTTTTTTTTTTTTTTGGGTGATGCTGGGGATTGAACCCAGGGCCTTGTGATGCGAGGTAAGCACTCTACCAACTGAGCTATATCCCCAGCCCACACCTGTACTCTTAGCCAGAAGTAAGGGGAGACTCAGGTAGGAGGACCACCAAGTTCAAGGCCAGCCTCAACTTAGCAAGGCCCTAAGCAACTTAAGAGAGACCCTGTCTCAAAATAAAAAATAAAAGGGCTGGGGAAGTAGCTCAGTGGTGTCCCTGCATTTAATCCTCAGGGGAAAAGGCTGGATCCTTCCTCAAAATTGATCTACTTATTTTATTTTTTAACTTTTTAAGTACTTGTTAGTTGTTGATAGACCTTTATTTTATTTATTTATATGTGGTTCTGAGAATCGAACCCAGTGCCTCACACATGCTAGGCAAGTGCTCTTGCACTGAGCTACAATCCCAGCCATGATCTGCTAATTTTAGTTCCTTACCATCCCTAATATTTCTCTAAAACTATTCAGTAGAATGGGTTCTGCAGGGAGTTAAACCACATTTGACCCATGGCTTTGTATAGCCCCTAAGTGGTACATAATTCAGTTGTGCAGACTCCAGTTAGAGAAGTAGGGTAGGCAGTCCTGTTGTAAACGGAGTGCAGATGCCCTGGAGCCATGGGTCAGCTCACCCCCAGAGCTCACCGGAGTGAATTTTTGACCTTAGGGTCAGAGCTTGGGCCATTTTCCTGATGTCTTCACCTCTCCCTACCAGGACATTCACCACGGCAATGGCACCCAGCAAGCATTCTACAGTGATCCCTCTGTGCTCTACATCTCCCTGCATCGCTATGACAATGGGAACTTCTTTCCAGGCTCTGGGGCTCCTGAAGAGGTATAGTTCCTGGGCCTACATGCAGGCCCCTCCGGGAGGTGGCAGGATGGGCCCTGGCAGGAAGCCACTGAAGTCCATGGTGGTGCTGGTCCCTGGGGCATCTCAGGGGCTCCTAGTGGGAGGACCTCACAGGTCTGACTGCCTCTCAGGCACCGCAGAGGTCAGTGGAGTGATGCCTTGGAGGCAGAGGTGAGGGTGGGTCAATGTCAGAGATCCCCAAGCAGTGAGAATAACCCCTTCCCAATCCTGGTGCTAGGTCGGTGGAGGGCCAGGCGTGGGGTACAATGTGAATGTGGCATGGACAGGAGGTGTGGATCCCCCCATTGGAGATGTGGAGTACCTGACAGCCTTCAGGTGGGTTTGAGAAGGGCCAAGGGAGAGATGGTAGCCCCTGGGTCTGGTGGTGGGAGGGGCAGCAGGTGCTCAGTTCAATGTGGGTGGAGGAGTGTGGTCTCCTAGAAGAGAACAGAGGGGGCGAGGCCTGGCCTGGCCATCTGCTGGGGTCAGCTTGGGCCATCCCTTTGCAGGACAGTGGTGATGCCCATTGCCCATGAGTTCTCACCTGATGTGGTCCTAGTCTCCGCTGGGTTTGATGCTGTTGAAGGACATCTGTCTCCACTTGGTGGCTATTCTGTTACCGCCAGATGTAAGCCTGTTGGGAGTTTGAGGGAGGGTGTGGAACAGTGAAGGAGTCAAGCAGGGACATGGGGCGAGGAACAGACTGATATTCCAGAGGAAGGGAAGGGCAGGGGGTAGGTAGGTCTAAGGCTTGGAATCATCTTGCTAGCTCCTTTCACCCTCCTTCTGCCAACCCTGGCCTGAGTGGGGGCAGCAGGAAGAAGTGGGGTAGCAGGGGATATATATCTTCTGCTGGAGCCATGGGGTTGGAGCTTTCCAACCAATCCCTGGCCTTTCAGTGATGCGCCTTATACCATAGCATGTAACTGATTTTCTCATCCTGTCTTATGTTTTGTCTCTGGATTACTTATTCCACTATCATTGATTATTATTATGGATATATGTGGGTTTATATTTTCCATCTCATTTAGTGCTATTTGTCCTCTTCTTGTTTCTTTTTCTTTCCCTTCTTCCTGTCTCTTGAATTGATATTTTTTACCATTTCATCCTCTTTCCTTCACCCACCAAAGGTTTTGGCCACTTGACCAGGCAGCTGATGACGCTGGCAGGGGGTCGGGTGGTGCTGGCCCTGGAGGGAGGCCACGACTTGACCGCCATCTGTGATGCCTCTGAGGCCTGTGTCTCAGCTCTGCTTAGCGTGGAGGTGAGGGGGTCACAAGAGGGAACAATAGGCCAGGGGTGAGCGATCAGCAAAAATGTCTACCTCCCTGGGTTGAGTAGCACTCACAGGCTGCTAGCTGGCTGGGAAAGCTTTCTGAGTATGCCTGCCCCATCATGAGGGATGGCTGGGGCTGAAAGAGGACATTTAGAGGGGCAGGTGACATCACCCCACTCTAAGCTTTTTTCTTTCTCTTATAGCTACAGCCCTTGGATGAGGCAGTCTTACAGCAAAAGCCCAACATCAATGCAGTAACCACACTAGAGAAAGTCATCGAGATCCAGAGTGCGTGGGGACAGGTGGAGGGGCGCAGACCTCAGCCTGATTGGGGGCAGGGTTTGTGGGAGTGCCAGGGTTGGGGTGTACCTATGGGTTTGTGTGCCCTCCCTGACCCCCTGGCCATCCCTCTTCCACAGGCAAACACTGGAGCTGTGTGCAGAGGTTTGCCACTGGTCTGGGCTGTTCCTTGCGGGAGGCCCAGGCTGGTGAGACGGAGGAGGCCGAGACTGTGAGCGCCATGGCCTTGTTGTCGGTGGGGGCTGAGCAGGCCCAGGCTGCTGCCGCCCGGGAGCACAGCCCCAGGTAGGCTCCCTGCCTTCCACCTTCCTGTCCTGACTTGAGGTGCTGTCCTTCACTCAATGCCTTCCCTGTGCTTGTCCCCACAGGCCGGCAGAGGAGCCCATGGAGCAGGAGCCTGCCCTGTGACACCCCGGCCCCCATCCCTCTGGGCTTCATCATTGTGATTTTGTTTATTTTTTCTATTAAAAACAAAAAGTCACACATTCAACAACGTGTGCTGTGTGGGTCTCTCAGCCTTGCCCTTCCTGTTCCTCTCAGCTGTCCAGCACTCCTGTAGCCTACACCTCAGCTCTGAAAGTGTATTCCCTCTGTAGGGTTGGGGTACGCTGCCCAGCCAGCTCCCCATGTTGTACCCCACACCCACATCCTTTCATTGTCCTTTTCCCCCTTGGAGCCTGGGCTAGCTCAAGGTGGGCACAGGAGCCCAGATGATACCCTTCAGTTCTGGGGCTCCCAAGTGAGGTGGGAACAGTAAGTTGGTGCCTTGGCTTTGGCTGACTTGGGGGGAATGCCTTAACTTTACCCCCCTTCCCTGATACTGGAGAGGGCACACCAGTAAGATGCAGAGTGGAGTGGAGGAGAGGTGAGCTGTCATGCTGCATTTCTCTACTTCTCCTCTGTCACCCCCATCATCTCTGCAGACCCCTCTGCTTGGCCTCAGCATCCACAGCAGGCTTGAGCCACAATGGGCAGGGCTGTCCTGCCTTGTACTTCTCAGGGCCCGTTTCCCCTCTCAGGGGTCCAGAGGGCAAAAGGGATGGGGGATGAACACCTGGGTTCTGAGGGGTTAGAAGGAGCCCCAGAACCAGAACTAGGCTTGCTCTCCAACTTACTCTTTTGGGGTTTTTGCCATCTGCTAGCACAGCCTGTGGAGGGGGAGGAGGTGGTTCCTACAGGGGCCTTGTAGGCTGGTGAGAGGCCCTTTGCTCTTTAGTAGGTTTCCCCCAGCCATCCAGCAAGATGTAAGTAGAAAGGTCAGGGCTTACCTTCCTCCTGGGGCCTTTTGCTTTGAAGCCTAGGGTTGGTAACTGGATATTTCTAGAAGTGGCAGGACCATAACCCAGGAATCTGAGTTTGCCCTCAGCAGGAGCTTCTCTTCCTCCCTGAGCACCCTCAGTTGGCCACTGTCTCAAGGGAGCTGAGACCAGGAGGGTGCTGGGCACTCCCCTTCCTCTTTTCCAGGGTCCTCTGGAGCCCCCCGTTTCAAGGGGTTGGGGGCCCATAGGCTTCCAGGGAATGCTGTCCAGCCTGTAGGAAACCAAAGATGGGAAGTGGCTCCTAGGGGATTAACTCTCCTCTCTCCTTCCTGATGCCACACATACTCTACTTTCATCTCCAGGGCCCTACCAATCTGTTTACATACTTATTATCCTAATGCTCCCCCTCCCCAACAGGGTTGAGGGCCAGGGGAGGGCCAGAGTTCTACCCCAATTGGTTCGTTGTGTGCTGCTTGTTCTAGATCCTCCTGGGGATGGGGAAGGGGCTAGGCCCATTGTACCAGGCCTCCCCACAATGAGCTCCAGGCTCCGGCCCCTGACCCTCCCTCTCCCTGTGGCTAGTGAGGTTCTCCTGTAAACCCACTCCTTGCTTTGTCTTCCCAGATATGGATTTCAGTTAAGAATTTTGTAACCTGTTACACTGTGTGTTCTTGTGTAAATAAACTTTTTGTTTCTGGCAGTGCTTTCTGGGGCCAGTGTCTCTGTGTCTGGATTCTCAAAGGAAACAGAGGTTCTTATTCCCCTTCCTAGCCAAAAAAACTGCCTTTTCTCTAGCCCTGGACCAGAAGCCAATTTGGAAAATGGGAGGCTGGGGCAGAAGATCTCTGTCCTGGTAGATGAAAGACAAGGTTTCACTGTATGTAACCATTGCATCTTATGGAACCTCTCTTGTGGCCTAAGTGGTGATGTGTGTTGTATTGGGGTTTGGGGACAGGACTGAGAGCTCTCAGCTGAGTTTCCAGTATCCCCTTTCCTTTGAGTTCCTAACTCTAGAAATAGCCTGGCAAGGGTTCTGCTCCTATACCTACAGGCAGGGTTGGTGGTATGTTCACGGGCAAGAAAGGAATCCAGAAGTTTCAAGGACTTTATTGGGGCACCCCCTGAGCCTCCCCTCACAGTGTTGCAGAAACCCACAGGTCTTACTGTTGCCTTTGCTCTTTGTGGACTTGGGGGGAAAGGCAGGAGGAGGCTCAGCCCCTCTGGGAGACTGAAGGCCCTTCTTTGGGGCTAAGACCAGGTGGAGGGAAAAAAAGGAAATTCAGGGTAAACAGGGCTTGCTTGGGGGCTGTCAGGGATGGAACTGCCTCCTGGAGTGTGGAGGTCATGGAGTGTTGGCTTTGGAGGAGGGGAAGTGGCAGAAGGAGGCTCAAGAAGTTAAGAAGAGTGGATGGGTGGTATTTCCTGGGCACTGAACATATGTACAAGCCAGGGCACGAGGGCAAGGACCAGACATGGCCAGAGGGTGTACTTAAGGAAGTTGAAGATGTAGAAGAGGCTGATCTGAGGTGGGTGGCCCAGCCAGTCTAGGAGACCCAGAAGCACCATGGCCAGCACAAGGCAGGCTACCTTCTGGCCATTTCCCAGTTGTGCCCGTCGTATCTGAGCATAGCAGGGAGAGTGCAGGGCAATGCCCAGCCCCAGGGCAGCCCCTGAGTCACGACTCAGGGAAGCAAAGGGCCGGCTGTCCAAGTGTACCCACTCAGGTCGCTCACACCACTTGGAGGCTAGGTTGATGGACCTGTGGGAAAAAAGAGTCCTTGCCAGGAAAGACTAGAACCCAGAGGGCCACTGGCTTTTGGTCATCTACTCTTGGCCCACTCACATGTTCTGCTGTGACCCCAGGAGAGTCTATGTTTGGGAACAGGTTATATGTCTTTTTTAACTCCAGTGAACCAGAGACCCAACACACTGGGTACAGGTGAGGTGGGTCAGGCCCCAGCCAGCCCAAGCTCCAAAGCAGGACTTACCAAGAAAGATCTAGGCCCAGTGAAAAGAGAGTCCAATAGATGAGACTAGCACCCAGCATGAGGGCCAGTGCAGTCAACCCATAGAAACTTAATTCCCGCTCCATAGGGACCCGCGGAGTCATCAGCCAGCCCAGGACAGCACCTAGGAGAGTGGGATGACAGCAGCTTCAAGAAGTTTGGGGAAATTATCCCCACCCCCACCCCCTGAACTGCAGTGCAGCTTGGTGGAAGGACAGACTAAGACCACTTGGGGTTGACTCTATAGAAACTGGGAATGATGGGAAGATCTTAGACTGGTCATCCCACTGCCAAAGGCACCCTCTTGGCCCACCCTATGGCCCCTATTGCTCACCAGTTATTAGGCCAGCCAACACTTGGTGAGGGAAATGTGCTAAGAGGAAGACCCGGGACAGGCCAACTGCCAATAGGAAGGTGCAATAAGCCAGGCTAGGAATCACCCTTACCCAGCGGCTAGAGAGAAGAGAGACAAATGGCTTAAGAGGTGTCTAGTCACAGCTTGGCTTCCCTCAGCATGCATACACTTCATAGTTTGACCAAATACCCCAGAGTCCCCATGCTGCTGGGTCTTTTGGGTCTAGGATGCCATCACCCCTGTTCCCACTAGTGGGTGATGCCAAAGGTATACCTGCGGGTCCGAGCAGCTACTTGAGAAGAGACGGCTGTCATTATTGGCCAGAAAGCTGCTCCTGTGACCATGCAGTGTCCAGAAGGGCTGCCTGTCAGCGAATATAGAAGTGTATGGTGAGAGAATAAAGGAGAACTTTGGTGATACCTAGACACAGCTGCCTCCCCCCGGCTGAAAAGCAGCTTTCCCTAGCACTGCTCCACTGCTCCCTCTGGCCTGAAGCATTTTTTACCTGCACCTGAGGCCACTGCTTCAGGCTTCTGCCCTGTCACTTGGTTCTACCCTGCACATGGCAGGGTGCCCTCCTCCTATAACTCCACTTGGTCTTCCTGGTGTTGCTTTGTTTTCTGGCCTAGTAAGTGAGAGGCTAGGCCTCTAGTTGGGCCACCCTGGCTGAAGACTACTCTGAAATGCTCACCCGAACCCTAACCACACCTAGAAAGGGAAGAAGTTTCCCACCTGGACCAGTTTCACAAGAAGAGGGGAACTGGTGAACCCGGGCAGGAGTCTGGCTGTAGTACCCAGACTCATGGACCCACCAAAAGGGCCTGTCTCCAAACAGAAACCTATAAGAGAAAAGATGCAAGATGACTAAAACGAGCACATGCTGCCAGGGGGAAGGAAGTGGGCAGAAAGACTGTAGAAATACCTGAAGACTCTGGAGGGTCTGAGGAATGGAGTCAGAAAGGGACTCTGATTCTGGCTATTATCTTGCCATGGTTTTCTACCTTGGAACATGAAAAGCATACCATTTTTAAAAAGTGACATGGAGCCAGAGGAGGTGATACACGCCTGTAATCCCAGATACTCGAGAGGCTGAGGCAGGAGGATCACAAATTTAAGGCCAGTCTTGACAATTTAGCTAAGCTATCTCAAAATAGAAAATTACTGCAAAAAAAAAAAAAAATGATATGGAGGCAAGAGATTGCGGTAAGTGTGTGTATGCTCCGAGATATTCAGATGTCCCACTTTTTTGGGGGGTGGTACCAGGAATTGAACTCAGGGACACTCAACCACAGAGCCACATCCCCAGCCTTATTTTATATTTTATTTGAAGACAGGGTCTCATTGAGTTGCTTAGCACCGCGTGGTTGCTAAGGCTGACTTTGAACTCACGATCCTCCTGCCTTAGCTTCCTGAGCCACTGGGATTACAGGTGTGGCCCACCACGCCTGCAGATGTCCCCCCTCTTAACCCTCCCACTACAGAGCCAGCTCTTTTCTTCTCACCCTGAGTCCAGGACTTGGTCTTTCCCCTTCCTCCCTGTCTCCTGCTACCCGCTCTCCATGTCCCTGATTTCAGCCTCAATTACCTACACCGTAATTATTTAGGTGAACTTCCATGTCTGAAAATGGGAGTAAGGAATATAGAAAGATGCCTGAGAAAGATTAAGGACAAAACTTCAAATTCCCAGGCTGGGTTTGTGGCTCAGTGGTAGAGTGCTTGCCTAACACATGTGAGGCACTGGGTTCGATCCTCAGCACCACATAAAAAATAATAAAGATATCTTGTCCATCTACAACTAAAAAAAAATATATATATATATATATATTTCAAACTCCCCTGGTCTAGCAGGTGCTCAGCTGGGCTCTGGTGAACCACACATAGAAGCTGCTGTGGCCAGAAAGAGAAGGAAAGCAGAAGGTATGCTGGCAGGAAGCAGAGAGCTGAGGAGTAAGGTTCAGAAGGGACTTGACTCTCCAGAAAACTGGGCCTCATACACGCCAAGAGCTCAGTACACACTTAAAAATGAATAGGGGCTTTGTCATTTGGGGGCATTTAAAGAGTGTGTCTATCAAAGCTGAGCATGGTGACACATACCTGCAATCCCAGCTACTTGAAACAAGTTCAAGGCCAACCATGGCAACTTTGCAAGACCTAGTCTCAAAATAAAATAGAAAGTTCTGAGGATGTAACTTAATGGTAAAGCACTTGCCCCCCAAGTGCCTTGCCACAGTGCCCTGGGTCTAATCCCCAGTACTAAGGGGGAAGGAGGGTGGGGGAGTGTCCACCATTTGACTCTAGGAGGAACAGAAATAGGGAGGGAAACTTTTACAGACTCTGAGGGAGGAGACAGCTCAGTGCAAAGAGCAATTAAACAAGGAGGAAATGATTCTGCAACTGCTTTTCTGTCTACAGTGGGATGAAACCCTGTGGAGAAGAGTGGAAAGGAAGGTTATTCCGAGTTTGTTTTGCAGCAAGTCATTCCATCCCATTCAAGTGTCTCCTATGAATCTCCCTTTCTTCCCCCAGGCTGGGGACTTGGCAACAGAGGCTGAGGTGAAGGAAGGTGAGGCTGCATGTCTACAGGCTCCCTTATACACCCAAAACAGAGAAAACAGGTGGCACAAAGTGATAAACCCCAAGGGCTGCAGGGCCTCCACCCACTTGCCTGGGATTCCTGGCTTCTAATTCTGTGTGTAGAGCTTACTAATGAATGAAGGGTAAAGAAAAGAAAGTTTTCCCTGGAAGGCAGTGCTTTCTTTCACCCAGTGCTTTTCAAACTTCACTGTGCATTGGAATCACTTGGGGACTTGGCTCAAATGCAGGAAGTATGACCTGGAGCATGAGATTCTGCTTGCATTTCTAGTAAACTTTCTAGGGCTGCCTATGCTATTGGGCATGGACCAAGGACAGCAACTTAATTTGCAAGGCATCTAGTGTGATGCCTGTCACAAAGTATGCTTTTTAACAATTATGTCAGGAGAATGAATAGTTGAATGAAAAAGTGAATTGAGAAGTCTCTTACTTAAAGCTGTAGATACTTGTTAAAATGCAGATTTCCAACCCCTCCTTTGGAGTTTCTAAATCAGAAGGGCTGAGGTGGGGATAGGATATTTGTGGTTTAAACGCGCCCCCTACGTGATTTCTCTAATCAGGCCAGTTTGAGGAACGCTGTCTAATGGGTAGAATGTGTGGAGTCTGAGGTCTGGGTCCAAGATGCACAAAGATGCTCAAAAGGGTGGAATGGCCTTTGAGACACCTGCTGAGAGAGACCCGGGCCCTCGAGGGTGGGGGACCAGGATGCCCGAGAGCTTCGCAGTCTCACCACTTGAAGACGAGGTTGAGCCACTCGGTGATGAGGCTGATCCAGAGCACCGCGATGCCCACACGGCGAGAAGCATAGTAGGCCGCGGGGAAGTAGAACAGAAAAAGGATCTTGGGATCGCCCAGAAAGGTGACCCAGAGCCACACGTTCTCCAGCCAGGGCAGCTGGTTCTGCAGCGCCTCAGCCATCACGATGCCCGCGCCCATCGCGGACTCCATGGCGATCCCGGGCCCGGCTGGGCGGGGATTCGCTCTAAGGAGGAAGCCGAGGAGTCTTGGCGACAGTGAAATGGCTACCGGCTGCTCTCCAAAGCCCACCCTTCCGAGCTCAGGCCCCGCCCTTCCAAACAGCGGTCGGAGGTAAGCCCCGCCCCTGCCCCGCCTCCGGCTGTCCCAGGCGCGCGCGAGTCCGGCCTCTTGCCGGTAGTGTCTTCTCGGTCGCTGTTCCCAGGTCTTCTTTCCTAGTGGGCAGCAGAGGGGACAAACCTTTGCGAAGGCGTTTTCTTAGGGCCCCACGTGGCTACTGTTGCTGGCACGTGGACAAGCTGCGGAGTGAAGAAACTGGCTGCTGTTCCGGGTCAGGAGACGATCAACCCGCGAGCCCGCGGCGAGCCAAGGGTCCTTGTTCTGCTGCTGCGAAGGTGGATGTGTAATCTCCAGGGCCATGGTTCCTTCTAGATAGGACCTCTTTTCTCCAATACCACTCTTCGCTCCGAAATCTGAGCTCTTTGGGAGAGAAGGCTATGGACATGGCCTGAAGCCAAAGCAGGACCTTAAATTTTCACACACCCCTAATTCGTCCACACCTTCAAGACTCTCCCTCCCTAATTCATCTGCTATTGATTTGGAGGCTGATTTTCAGTCTTCTTCCTTAGAGAAACAAATTCTCAATTACACTTCCTCACAATTCTAATTGCCTTGACCCCCACCCCACCCCGCCCCTTCCATCCTCCAGCCATCCAAAACTCTGCTGGGCAGATAACCCAAAAGATAGTGATGTTGATATGGAAAGAGAAAGAGCACCCACCACCACAAAATTGGCCGAGTATGGTGGTGCACCCTTGTAATATCAGCTATTTGGGAGGTTGAGGCAGGAAGATGTAAATTTGAGGCCAGCCTTGACAATTTAGCGAGACCCTGTCTCAGAAAAGGGCTGGGGTTGCAGCTCAGAGGTAGCGAGAGCTGGTGCCGGGACGGGGTGGGAGGGTTGGGAATAATTTGAAACACACAGAAAATAGAAATCTCAGCTTTTAGGGGAGGTCGGTCGCAGAGGTCGAATGGGAGGAGACTGTTGAAGTGACTCCTCAGTTTTCTTCCTACCTCCAGCAACTTTATTCTTAGAGTTTTCCAATGGATGAATGAAAATAAGAATATAAATCTGGGTTTCACTAAGAAGGTGTTGGGAAGGGAAGCTGGTTGAAAAATCTCAGTTCATTTCCTAGATAAATGTTTTTCAATTGCCTCAAAGAGAAAGCCTAAATTTCTTTTAAAAAGTCTTTTAAGGGGCTGGGTTTGTAGCTCAGTGGTGGAGTGCATGCCTAGCATGTGTGAGGCACTGGATTCAATTCTCAACACCACATATAAATAAATAAAAATTCGGGCTGGGGTTGTAGCTCAGTGGTAGAGCGCTTGCCTCTCATGCTTGAGGCACTAGGTTTCCATCCTCAGTGCCACATACAAATAAATAAAATAAAGGTCCATCAACAATTAAAAAATATTTTTAAAAAAATTCTTAAATTTTGCCCTGTCTGGGCATGGTGGTGCATGCCTGTAACCTCAGCAGCTGGGGAGTCTGATTAAGCACCACTGGATTCAGTCCCTGGTACCAAACAACAACAACAACAACAAAATTTTGCCCGGGCTCTAAGCCTCAACCCTCAGCTGCCTACCTTCACACCTGCTTTATAATAATTTTTTCTTTTCTTTTTTTGGGACCAGGGATTAAAACCCACCCCGCTTCCCCAGGGTGTGCTTAACCAGAACACATCCTCACTTGCTTTTTTTTTTTTTTTTTTTTTTTTTTGAGACAGGGTCTCACTAAGTTGCTGAGGCTGGCTTTGAACTTGCAATCCTCCTACCTCAGCCTGCAGATTGGGGTTACAAGTGTGTGCCACCACACACTTTTTTTTTTTTTTGAGACAGAAGCTCACTACATGGCACAGGCTGGTCTCAAACTCCCCTCTCCTGCCTCACCTCCTTGAGTAGCTGGGATTAACAGGCGTGTGCTGTCAGGCTTAGCTTTTCCGTTTGTATGTGTGGTGCTGGGGATTGAACCTAGGGCCTCTTCCATGCGAGGCAAACAATCACTCACCACTAAGCATCCCCACTTGCCACTTTATACTCTTTATCTCCAAGGTTTCTCTTAGAGGCCCTAGTGCATGCAAATCTTCCTAGCTAAAATATGATCACCCTATGTTGCCGCTAAGCCCTAAGGTATCAGCTTAGATTTTTCACTACCTCTAAAAGGCTTTTCCTAGAGATGCCTGTAAATCATATATGAAATTCTGCTGGGTGTGGTGGCACATGCCTGAAATCCCAATAGTTTGGGAAATCTCAAGTTCAAAGCCAGCCTCAGCAATTCAGTGAGGCCCTAAGCAACTTAGCAAAACCCTGTCTCTAAATAACAAAATACACACGCACACACACACAAAAAGGCTGGGGATATGGTTCACTGCCCCTGGGTTCAATCCCCAGTAACACGAGTGCGCGCACACACACACACACACACACAAAATCCTGTATATTAACATCTCCCTCCTCACCTGTGGTTTTTCTTTCTATGATAGTAGTTACCTGCAGTCAGCCTATATGTGAAAATATTAAGTGGTAAATTCCAGAAATAATTGATAAGTTTTAAATTGCATATAATTCTGAGTAGCATCATAGAATATCCTGTTTTTCTGGTCCAGTCAGCCTGGGATGTGACTATTCCTTTTGTGTTTTTCTGGTCCAGTCAGCCTGGGATGTGACTATTCCTTTTGTCTAGTGTATCCATGCTGTATATACTGCCTCCCCTTCCATGCTGTATATACTGCCTCCCCTTATTTATTTAATAGATGTCTAGGTTATCAGATCCACTATTATTTCTCAGTGCTTGTGTTTAAGTATATCTTATTTTACCTAATAATGGCCCCAAAGTATGAGAGTAGTGATCCTGGCAAACCTGGTATAGCAATAGATGTCTAAAATCCCAGTCATTCAGAAGGGTGAGGCATGAGGATGACAAGTTTGAAGTCAGCCTGGGCAACACAGTGAGACCCTGTTTCAAAATAAAATAAAAAGGGCTGTGGATGCAGTTCAGTGATACAGCTGGGTTTTAATCCCCAGAACTGCAAAAAACAAACAAACAAAAAACCCTGAAAAAATAAAAAGTAAAATAAAAAACAACACCACTGTGGCACAAGCCTATAATCCCAACAACTTGGGAGGCTGAGGAAGGCGAATCACAAGTTCAAAGCCAGCCTCAGAAACTTAGTGAGGCCCTAAGCAATTATTAAGACCCTGTTTCAAAATAAAAAATAAGAAGGGCAGGGGACATGGCTCAGAGGGTAAATGCCCCCAGGTTCAATCCTGAGTACCAAAAAAACAAAAATAAAAGAAAGAATACTGGTACTGGCAAGTCAGATATGCCAAAAGGAAGCCATAAAGTCTTTCCTTTAAATGAAAAGGTAAAAGTATAAGATATTTGAGAGAGACACCACATTCATATAACTTTTATTATAGTATATTGTCATAATTTTTTTTGGGGGGGAGGTATTGAACTCAGGGGCACTCAAACACTGAGCCACATCCCCAGCCCTATATTGTATTTTATTTAGAGACAAGGTCTCACTGAGCTGCTTACTGCCTCACTTTTACTACAGCTGGCTTTGAACCATCTATCCTTCTGCCTCAGCCTCACGAGCCTCTGGGATTACTGGCATGCACCACCACAACTGGACTATAATATATTATTATAATTGTTTTATTTTTATTAGTTATTACTATTATTATTTAGTACTGGGAATTGGACTCATGATTGCTTTACTACTGAACAACATCCCCAGTCCTTTTTGTTTTTTTTATTTGGAGACATATAAGTTGCTAAGTTGCTTAGGACCTTGCAAAATTGCTGAGGTTGGCCTCCAACTTGTGATCATCCTGCTTCAGCATCCTGAGTTGAAGAGATTACAGGCATGTGCCATTGGCCCAGAACATTATTAATCTATTATTGTGCCTAATTTATAAATTTAACTTATCACAGGTATATGTATATAAAGGAAGAAACAGTATATATAGGATTTGATACTCTCCAGGGTTTCAGGAATCATGAGGGGAGACTATTGTAATAACAATGTTATAAAAAAGTGGATTGGTGTTGCAAAATGACTTCTTATAGGGATCAGAACAAGGATGAGACATAAAATTTCTCTGAAAATAAACAAGTATGAGGAGCAGATTCTTTTTTTTTTTAATGTTAGGGATTGAATCCACAGATGCTCTGTGGATTCAAAAAGATGCTCTGTAACTGAGCTATATCCCTGGCCCTGTTTATTTTATTTTTTTAAAAATATTTTTTAGTTATTGATGGACCTTTATTTTATTCTTTTATTTATATGTGGTGCTGAGAATCAAACCTAGTGCTTCACACATGCTAGGCAAGTGCTCTACCTCTGAGCCACAACCCCAGCCCCTGGCCCTGTTTATTTTTTGAGATGGGAGGTCTCCCTAAGTTGCAGCAGCTGGCCTCAAACTTGCAATCCTCCTGCCCTAGCCTCTTGAGTAGGTAGGTATAGGCATGTGCCACCACACCCAGCTAGAATTTTTATTACTAGTATAATGATTGTCCAATATTCCTAGCACCAGGAAGTTTTTGCCTCTTACAGAGCAAGGAAACACTTATGAACTTTGTTCAGGTTCTGTAATGCCAATGCTGGCCTTTTGCCTCTCTCTGGACTAGAGAAAGGTCAACTGTTTCTCATACATGAGGTTCCAATATTTCTGTATTATGGGATGGGTGGGTTAGGGATGGCAATTGATGGTGATGGGTTTAAGTATGCACCTGCATATTACCTTATATAAGGTTAATAAAAATAATTATTTTGTATATTAGGTGTCACTAGTACCACTCCTTGTTTCTTCTTTTTGCCTGGCTTTCTGAGGGAGAGGGCAAAGAGGGAGATGAGGAAGCATCTTGGGCTCCAAGGCTCAGATGGGTGAGCATGGGGGAAATACTATTTATTTGTAGTATTAGGGATTGAACCCAGGCCCTACCACATTCTAGGTTACATCTCCAACCCTCCCTCCCCTCACCTTTTTTTTTTTTTTTTTAAGAGACAGGGTCTAAGTTACA